GTCGATACAGTCCTCCATTCTAAAAATTCTTCTTAGTAATCCTTCGGGTATCCATGGATTCATCATCCGATGGTTCTTCCTTATACTTGGTCTCTCTGACCGGCTTCTTGTCTCTAGGGTGGAATTCCCTATCATTGGCTCTGTGGCCAACTTGATGGCATATGAAGCATTTGACAGCTTTCATATGGTCGGACCTTTCTTTTTCTGAGAGGTGGTCAACCTCCATGGTGTCTTTGTCTCCTTTCAGTTGGTACTTTTCTGGTCCAAACCTATTCTTCTTCTTCTGGTTCTGGTAGTTCTTGGGCCTCAGCGCCAAGATCTGTTGGTAGGCATTGTCCATCTCTCTTGCGGATTGGACCATGCCTTCGAAGTCCTTCAAGACATTTCCCACTTTATAGATAGCATTGGAAATTCCAAATTTTAATCCGGCGGTAAAGAAGTGCACTTTGGCACCTTCTTCCGTCAATCCGGTCTGGTGGAAGAGATGCTTGATCTCTGTGATGTATTCTTCTAAGGACCCTTCTTGCTTGAAGGTCCTAAGCTTGATCCATGCTTCGGTTGAAGCTTCTCCAGAGGTAAAGGCCTTGAGAAAGGCTTTCTTGAAATCCTCCCACGTTCCGTATCCGATGAGGATGCCATTTGCGTCTTTCTTGCCAGAGTTCTTGGCTTGTTCAAGGAAATCTTCTTTCCACAAAAGTGCTGCTTTTTGATTCATGAAAGAGGTGGCGAAGATGATGCATTTCTTGTCAGTGTTGTAGATGTCACTGTTGATATCAAGGTAGGTGGAGACTGCAAGTAGGAAACTCTTGGCGGTCTTTTCATTGCCGTCAAAGACCGGTGGTGTTCCGATCTTGATTTCAATTGATTTGTTGATTGCCGCGGTGATGGTGCTGGCGGTGCTGGATGTGGATGCTGCACTTGGTCCAGACATGTTTCCAAATGTGGCGGCGAGGATGTTGGCAGTTATCAGATCAATGGTTGCTGAGTACTGTTGGAAAACAAGTACTGGGTGAGGAACTTAATCTTTTGTTACAACTGGGATAGTTCTGCTGTCTATGGTCAAAGATAAACCAGTCAAGTAGACAGTTCGTCGAGCCTCCTAGTACAAGGAGGGTTCTGGTTCAAGGGTTCACACTAGACGAGCACGGTGGCCTCTGTCTAGGATCGGCGGTGAGTGGTTTTAGCACTTCTACCGCAATCAAGGGTTCAGGCTAAGGACAGTGAGTGACTGCCTTAGAATCAGGTATCAGGCTATAAGGGTGGAGACCTTATAGATCAGGATTTAAGGGGAAAACCCAGTAGATTAAGTTAAGGAATACAGCTATTGTACATGGGGTTTATATAGGTAAAGCGGAGTGGCGCAGCCACATCAAGAAAGGTAACACAGATAGGAAAAATAGTACAACCTATCAAGATAGCAAAGATAGGTGAAACCGCCATGTGGCGCAAGATAGTATCTATGTTACAATCAGGAAGAAGAGAAGTGCGGACAGCCCGCTTGATAAAGGAATAGCCGAGTCTAGTAGAGTCTAGAGTTTGGCAGCATGGTTACAAGAAAAGAAAAATGAAATAGGAGTAAATGATATTGTAACAACCCCTGCATGCCAAGTATATGCAGTATATACAAGACCACCTCAAAGCCAACAAACAACAATTGATATGCCAGTGGTGGGAGAATTACAAGTCACTTACATACCATAGATTAGCGGACATATATGCATTCCAGTCGCAACTCAAAGCCAACAAGTCACAGTAATTTTTATTCTTGGTACATATTCCAAGCCACGTCTTTCTACCATAACATCTTTAATTTACATGTCCGATTCAAGGCTTACTAAACTCTTGGATTGCCCACAAATACTAGTGTTGCTGTTTGAAGCAAAGTTATAATCATGATCACTACAAGTCTGGTCAATTTGCACCTCCGACTCATCTTGAGGGTCATTGGGCAGCCGCTTTTGTGGTGTTGAGTCAGAAGTCGAAGAACACTTGTAGTAGTACTAGTAGGACACTTGCAACAACTTTCCGAGTTGCTCAACCCCCACAATTCAGAGCACCTCTCTCAGGCTCTCGATCATACTATATGCAAGTCTTGAATGCTGATCTTAGTATTTGTGCTGACTCGTTTGGATTTATATTGTAGTATTCTAGTCACCACTATCATCACTATGGCGGATCTCCATTGTGAACTTCCACCCAAAAATCACCGAAGAGCTTGAGCAGGTTCTACTAGCTTAGATTAAAAACTTTTAAATTATATCATAGTTTGGAATGTAAATAGGGAGAATTAGAAATATTTAACAAGTTTGATATATATCCCTCACAGGCCGTGATCATGCAATGTGACCACATTTTCACGAATTCCATGATGTTTTAGATCTGGTGAAAATTTCAAAAGTCAAATTTCAAGGGAAAGCCTTGAATAGCCTATATATGGATGGGGGAAATCGAGAACACTCGACAAGATTGACATAATTCTCCTACCATCACACACAGACCATGGCAGCACCATGTCACAACTTCGTCACAGATTCACATGCCAATTTTCACGAGATAGCCTGTGCCAACGCTACCTGTCACGAGAAAGTCTTTAATAGCAATATAATTCAAAATATAAGTATGGGGAAATTAGAATATCCAACAAGGGGAACACATTTATACAACTATCCCTTGCTGGCCATCAGGAAATTGGCCCTAAATTGATATGACTGGATATAATTCATAAAGTTAGATCAAAAATCCACTAAATTATATAAGATTATATACAAAGATAAAGCTTGATACAAGTACAACAAATAGCTATTGAAAGAATGATGGTTGCAAGAAAACTGACATTCTGATGTTAGAAATATTAAGTTTTACAATTGATTGAAAGAACACCAACATTCTGATGTAGATATGTCAAGTCTTACAATTGTATCAACAATTCTCTATCAATTGGTCTCCACTACCAATACTTGCATGATATTACACTGGTCATGTCACATGACAAATGCTTATGTAAGTCTGAGTTTGAAAGTTTTCATCAACTTTGACACTTGTCTTCTCTTGTTTCACCACACTCACTTTTGGCTCTTCAAGCCAATATCTATTCTCTCCCTCCATGGTGTTACCTCTGGCCCTCTATGGTTCTTACTGGTCCCTCCTTGGTTCTCCCTGGTTCCTCCCTGGTCCTGGTCCTCCCTGGTTCTTCCTGGTCCCTCCTTGGTCCTCCCTGGCTCCTCCCTGGTCCTGGTCCTTCCTGGTCCTTCCTGGTCCCTCCTTGGTCTTCCCTGGTTCCTTCTTGGTTCTCTCTGGTCCCTCCCTGGTCCTTATCCTCTGTGGTCCTCCATGTCTCTCTTCTTGAGTTAGGTAACTGACATCTCTCTCTTTGTATCATATCTCTACACTCTCCTGTATTAGTATTACATGTATATACCCCAATGCCAATCAAAAATTTTATTTATTTATAAAATGATAAAATGAGTATCAAGATTGAGACTTTTTAGTAATTTCTTGTCAATTTTGTTTGAAGTTATCTGACATTATATAACTTTGTGAAGGATGGTAGATATTTGCAATATGTGTCATAATTGTGTCTTTGGTGGTTTTCCCCAGCATAGTCTAACTATTTAAAGATTTGTAAAGCTGAGTGCAATTATGATGGATATTATATCAATTTTACTTTAGACAAAGCTTGATAAAGCTATGTCATTCTCAAGTCGATTGCCTGATGTGGTTACTATGTGAAAAATCAACCACATTGTCGCAAACACCTCATAGTAGTCTAAATTTGCATACATCCATGCCTATGTATTAACATCTCAAGTTTCTCATAGTATAAATTGACATGTTTGGCTGAAGTGGAATTATATCCCTCTATAATTCTCATGGCTACAATATCGAGGACTCATGAATTTACTGATGTGCTCTCAGTCCGCAACGTGTTCGCATCCCGCCTCTTATGTATGCTGATTGTTTGAATGTGACTGGTCTATATATCGTTGTGTCAGTGCTTCACGTTCAGCCTGTCCCTCGCCCACGTCTTGCCAGAACGTTCATATAAGTAGCATCACGTCACGAGTGTCTGGGCTTCCACGTTGCAATGTGGACTCACACAAGCGTACAGCCACATGGCTCCGTGCCTCCTGGGTTCGACTGTTAGCCGAGCAAAGAGTGTCATTTCTGACCTTTTCCGGCCGTCTTGCTGGGTCTTCGAATTGAAATGGCTGTTGAGTCATAGAGTTGTGACTGTTACGTCTAGATTGAACGATGTTACATGATCGTGTGTGTCTATTGAAACCGCCAACGCAGTCAGTCGATTGACGAGATCGCAAGTGTGATTAGAGACAATATACAGCGTGGAAGCATTGGCTTTCCAGTGTTTAATGGTATAAAGCAGTTTGAATCGAAGACTTGAAGCACATACAGGAAGGTCAAAGAACCTCATTCCTTGACTACAGCGTTTGAAATTACGACAGCGTAAGAATTCCACCCCTGCCAGAGCTTCTGAGAGTCACGTTGTGGAACTGCAATTTACATGCAGGGGCGTCTTCTGGTGTGAACTGTAGTCGTCGGTGCCGGTGTCGCATGTATTCATAAGGAGGAACCCAGTTTTAAATGATTTTTTCAGATCCAGGGGAGCCGCTGACGACCCATATGTGGAGCAAACCAGGGAAGCTGCCTGTCAGGCGTAAGGACGATATGCGTAGGGATATTTCTGCTTCATAAGGAAGTAGTTCTTCGCCTGATCGTGATTCGAGGTGGAAGCCAGGTAGAGGTGGAATATGCAAATCGGCAATCATGTTTTGAAGAAGTTCTTCACCCTTTTTATCTGCGAGTTCGCCTGATGAGTCTGAGTTGCCCGTGAGTATCTCATGGCTCGTCTCTATGTCGGGCCCTCGGATTTGAACCACTTGAAGATTGTTGTCGAGTCTCAAAAATATAACGCATGATTGGAAGAACTGAGTTCGCTCTATTTCGGTTGGACGCCGTGGGAAATCTTGGCTGTGTCCAACAGTTGTCAGTGGAAACTTGAAGCAGTTTGGATCGAGCAACTCGTTCTATCAAACAGCTGGCATCTGCCAAGCTTTGCTTTAACTGAATTTTTTGCAATCTGTGAACTACTTCTGTGGCCCTTGTGCCCGCGCCCCTCATTTCTGTTCTACGTTAAATTCAACTTGTACATGTCTGCACACGGCCACAAACATACGGGTTCCGTGACCCAGAACCACAAAGCACAACTTGCTAATGCCTATAACGAACTCGGGAAGGAACTCTCATCGAGCAAGATCAGGGTTGTCGGAAACTACACCCTTGGAAAGGTCATCGGTGAAGGTATGACTTCTGACTCTCTTATTCTTGCTATCCCTGACACACACACTAGGCGCATACGGGAAGGTTCGCTTGGGTACTCACCGTATCACCTCTACCAGAGTTGCCATAAAGCAGATTCCAAAGGCAATGTCCGCCTCCCTCACCCGCGAAATACACCACCACCGCCAGCTTCACCACCCCCATGTCACTCAGATGTATGAAGTTATTGCAACAGAATCTCACATCTGGATCGTCACAGAACTCTGCTGTGGTGGCGAGCTTTTTGATTATCTTGCTGAGAAAGGTCGCTTGTCCGAACGTGAATCCAGCATTATTTTTGGTCAGCTTGCGCTTGCAGTTGCATATCTACACGAGAAGGGCATCGTCCACCGAGATCTGAAGCTTGAGAATGTCTTACTTGATGAACGCTGTCGCGTCAAACTTGGCGACTTTGGCTTTACTCGCGAATATGACCGTGGCGTCTACATGGAGACTTTTTGCGGTACTACGGGATACGCGGCCCCTGAAATGCTTCAAGGCAAGCGTTACCTCGGCCCAGGTGAGCTCGCCTACCTTGCTTTCTTCTATTGGAACTTTTTAATTTTGATGGCGCATTAGAGGTTGATGTTTGGTCCATGGGTGTGATTCTCTACTGTCTTTTGACTGGCACACTTCCGTTTGACGACGACGACGAAGCAGTCATGAAAGAAAAGGTCATTAATGGAAAATATGAAGACCCTGAGTGGCTCTCTACAGGTATTTATCAATTATACACTCTCTGGACCTGATTTACCAGCTGCGGACATAGATGCTCGTGATCTTATCCGCAACATTCTCGAGGTCGATCCTGCTAAGCGCCTGACGATCCCACAAATCCTGGCCTCTCCGTGGTTTACATCCACCCCTTCCGCTCCTGTTTCGGACCAAGTGCTCTTTGATGTTAATGATGTTCCTCCATCCCCGTCACCTGCCCGCGATACCTTTATCCTCCCCGTGAAACCCGTCGTGAACACTCAAACACAGGTGAACGAAATTTCTATTTCTCCGGCGACATCGACTACATCTGAATCCTTTGTTTCTGCATCGTCTCATTTATCTCCATCGCCTCCTACAACTCCCGATAACACTCCTAATGACCCTTTTGATACAACTCAGGGTAACGGGAACCAAACCCCGATTATGAAGGCTGCTCAGCGCTCTCATCCCAGTAAAGATATCATGACTCGACAGCCTGAAACCGTCATCGAAGAGGAACCTGAAGCAGAGAACGCTGTACCATTTGCTACAGAGTCAGTTACAAACCTCGATCAGACCCCTAAGGCGCCCCCGTATCCAACACGCACACCTGCACGTACAAAGCGCCGCTCTGTGTCTTCTACCCTTTCTGACTCTGGTTCACCAACACTGGACAAGTCATTGGCCCCTCTCCCACCCCAAGATTTTGCATCATTACTCAGCACTCCAGCTCCCATAATTTTCTCCACGCCCGCGGAACGCGACCTTCTCAATAGCCTCAGTCTACTCGGATTCGATACAAGTCAGATCGTGCATTCTGTCCTCAGCGATGCATGTGATGCTGCAGGTGCTATTTGGTGGATGCTAAAGCGCAAGCGGGAAAAACGCGTTTTTGCTGGAGAGATACCATTGCCCCCCGAGTTTTCCGAGCCTGTAGATAGTAAGCAGCGAGAGAAAGATGGGGAGGAACAGGACCGCGCTAATTCTCGGAGACGGACCAAGCGTGGCATCGGTGTCCAGACCGACGATGCCACAATTTCTTCATCACTGGGTCTGATACATCGTGCTCCTGAGCTTGCCTTACTGCCTCCGACGCCCACCGTCCCATCATCCGCACGGCCCACGACGCCGCCGCGTGCGAAGTCGCCGTTTCTGTCACCATCACCAACTACTGCGGAATCCTCCGGCAGGTCCAATCCATCAACACCTACCGGAAGTTTCAAGGATAAGGATAAAGACAACAAAGGGAGGAGGGATAGCAAGGCACGCTCTGGCAGTGTAAGCATCATGCAGCGCGCCACGAATGCCCTCGAAATCGCAGGTCTCGTGCGGAAGAAATCAAGCGAAGCAGTGAAAGGGGATGACAAGGAACGCGAGCAGGAAAGATCCAGGGAGCATGAGAAGCGGAATGGAGGCGGAGAAGAACCCAGACATTCAGGGAACTCGTCCAAGTTGACCAAGTCGCCACCTTTGAAGCCTAAGGACCAAGTAATTCTCCCTACTACCCCATCCGTTGCAGAGTCAAGTGTTCCGCCCCCTTTGCCTGGTTCGCCATGGGTTGTCACCGGTGACCGAACGTCTCCACATTCACATACGCCGACACCTGCGAATTCTCCAGGTGATACACTGACAAGCCTCCCGAACTTCTCAGATGAGGGAAAGGTTGTGCCACCTAACCGGAATCGCGCCAGTTTATTGTCTGCGTTCAGATTGTGGTTCCAGGAAGATAAGAAAGGGAAGCGGAAGGAGGCGGCGCAAACTCAAGGCAGTGGACGCGGACTTTCATATAGCCGTTCTCTTGCTGTTCCCCCTACTGCTTCCATGTCACCTGGTGGTCATGGAAATCTCAAGAGAAGAGGCAGTGGAACTGGGCGTGGACGGCGTGTGAAGCGTCACTCAACATCATCGCGCCGTTCGAGCAGTGTGAATTCCCGTCGGTCGTCAGGAAACTCTACGCAATTGCCAGTTCTGGAGCCACCTCACATACTGGAGCAAATTCCCAGCGTGCGATCGTATGGCGGTGCTCATACGCCGGGATCTGACAGGGGAGAATCCTCATCACGCCCCTCCTCTGTTCATAGTGTTACACTTGGCAAGCATCGCAAATCGCCATCGACAGGGTCTAATGGGTCAGCACACTATCGCAACGGTTCACCTATGCATAAATATCACCACAGGCGAGCCGGGTCTTCTTCGTCAACTCGTGTCATACGTCATCAGACAGGGCCTCGACCTGTACACCATAGAACCAGTTCTGCTACATCGTCCGTCCATTCATTAGCGTCATCACGCCCAACCTCGTTTTATGAAGCCTCAGAAGGAGAAGGCACTCGCACGAGTTCTCCGTACAAAGGCTACCCGTCCCGCCGCTCGCTTGACGACACGCCACGGCGTGGGTCAGGCAATGCGACGTTTGTGGCTCAAAAACGAATCACGCCTTTTATGAGCCCTTCCGGAGCCGCCGGACGAACGGGCTGGAAAAAATCCTGGGGCCACGAGCCTCCTGGCTGGCAGTCCCGTTCTACGCATCTGCCTGTCGAGGTGCTTTCAATATCCCCGGGACCAGAGGGGCCTGCGAACATTCGAGATGTCTTTACTGGGAGGCAGAGTCTCAGTTTGGGCGATGAGAGTGATTGGGTGGATGAGGATGATGACATACTTGAGTTTGCGGGTGGGTTGGGTCAGATGCCTTCGAGCTCGAGTACGAACTCGTCATTCATCCCTATTGAGTCACCGACGCCTATACCGCCTCCTGCATGGAATCATAATTCACGCTCAGGGAAAGGTCGTACGACCTCACTAGCTCTGCCGAACAGCAATAGCAGGGCCAAACAAGGCAACTCCCCCGCTAGGTCGTCTCCTGTTTCAACGGAAAATGTGTTCGATGCTTCAGATGTGAGAGCAGGGCGTCGACAACTACCCACAAGCCGCTCAGGCCCTGCGTTCAGACATCCGATACAAGAAGAAGATGAGGGGGAAGAGGAATAAATCTTATTTTTACTTTGGCGTGCGATGCACGTATTGGTAAATGTTGTCTCATATAAAGCTAGCTGCTGGTTTTCTGTCTTGGATGCTTTCATAGAATTGCTCTCGTGTGTTCCTTCATCTTTTTTCTATGTCATTATGGGTTGCTATTGTCACGAAATCCGATCCCTTTTCTGTACTTTTCATATCATTATATGATACCCTGACTTCTATGTCCTGTATTTTTTTCGTCTCCAAGCTCGTACCAATGTCTGCAGGGGGACTATTATGTTATTTGACACGAGATGCGCGAATAATCAACAAGCTACCTTTCTAGTTCACCTGGATCTCTGCACACCGATTCCAGCGAGCAACGGCGCAATGTACAGAGCCGCTGGCACAGGCTACACCACTCGTTTATCCGTGGCAATATACGCCAGGCTGGTCACGAGCCTACGTGTAGACGCCACAATACTATGATGGACTAGTTCTCTGCCAACCCTGAGTTCTGCCAGCAGTTTTTCCGCGGAGTTCTGCTATACTATCACCTGATTCGGAATGCACAATCGATGGATAATGCACAATGCACTCCAGAGCTCACCACTCTACATATATTTCATTCGGAACAGCTGGTGGACAATTATTAGCATACATTCAATAATACTACCAATTCAAAATTTTAAAATCGGTGCTGTGAAGCCTTCCCGAGATGAAACATTGTGCGAGTGTGCCCAAAATGAGTGATTTTTGGACACTAAATCCAAGATCCACCCAGATCCCATTAACCTATCAACACAGAAAGTTCAAAATATGTGAAATGCACCATCCTGAATCTACTCCAGGTGTTTCTATGTCAATAGGACACCACCACAGCATGCTATTCGCGATTCATGAGCAAAGCGTGACGGTCAGGCTAGATTGGGAAATCACACTCTCGGCTTGGTTGAGTCTCCGCTTTCTTTGCATTCGGCAGAATCGGCACATACCAGCATCTGTTCCTTTGAAGACACCAGAGGACATTGTTACATTACAAGGACAGTCGACCAATGCCAAGGACAGCTCGAGTTTTTCGCAACCGCCCTTCACCACATTCACAACCTCCTCTCACACGCGAGGATCGTGAAAAACGTATCAAGGATGCAATCGATACATGGCGTGGGGGTGAAACTAAAAGCCTCCTACAAGCAGCCAAGATGCATGGTGTCGAGCACATATATTCCACAGTGCGTAGGAGATGTGAAGGGTTGACTGCACCATTAAATAGAGTTTCAGCAAATAATGATCACTCAGCACATCCTAGTGTTTATTACTAGATATTATTCCCTCAATGAAATTTGATTTGGAGCTCGTTATTGAAGCTTGAAGTTATGAACGGTGCGGAACACTGGACTTTCATTCGCTTTGCACGCTGTCGGACTGTGAATATCATTGTGTATTGGCCGAGGTGCCGCGCGTGACATAGTGTGACGAAATTGTGCATTTCTATTGTGTTTTCGACACCTCAACTTCCAGTGCTGCCGCTGCAACAAGCTCGCAACAAAATTAAAAAATTCTTGTTGGGCCTAATGCACAGAGACCTAAAGTATACACTACAGTAGATCCGATACGAATATGTGTTGTTGTTGTGTTGCTATTCAGCAATAAGTGTAAATTGTGCATTTCCCGTCGAATGATAGTATGCTGGCACAACCAGTTCTGCCAAACCGGTTGGGAGAACTCGTAAGTTCTTCCCTACCCTGTGACGACCCTGGCCAGTAACGACGTAAGGGCCACAGTTGATTACGCTCCGGCAAGTTCTATCTGCCAAATCGATCAGGATCGTGTCCATGTATATATGCAGGATATAAAAGCTGGTCATTATCCTATAGTGTTCCCACATCTTCAGAGATATCATTCGAGATCCACCTCAGAAGATTTCATATCGCCTCACACAAAAAATGCGTTTCTCCTTCCTCGCCGTCGTAGTTATGTCGACAGCATCTCTGTTTGTCAATGCACATGCACAATGCGACATAACACTGTGCTTGACAACTGCAGACTGCTGTGCAGGCGAAGTTTGTCCTAAGGTAAGCCAAGGAGCAGATCGCTGTGCAGCCAGGATTCAACCACATGACTCACCTGCTCATCTTAGGGCAAAGGACGTCGTTTCTGTCAACCGAGAAGCAAGTGAGCCGGGAGCCCGAGCGGTACATCGCAACAGCAAGTCATGTTTCCGTTTTCGTTTTGGTATCACGGCTGATGGTGTAATACCAAGTTCGAAGTCAATCAGTCAAGTTGTTCATGGACAAATTTTCGTGCTGTGCTTTGGTATCATGGTTGATCGTACAATACCGTGACCTAATTCGGAGTCTATCAGTACAGTTGTTTGTGGACAATTTTTCGTGTAGTGCGGGTGCTTGCACTCATCTGAACGTCATAGACAGTGCCTACGGTAGGCTGGCTTGTCGTCCACTAAGCTGAAAGACAATTTTGATACCATCTATCTCCAAAGCAAGTATTCCTTTTTGCGTCTCCGTACAGTGGTAGTACATGTTGCAACAAGCGAGTCATTGCGTGTGTTAGCTTGTTTCGTGAGTTGATCTTGCGCATCTATTGCGCCTGATATCATGATTGAGATTATGCCTTGATGACGACGCTCCTCTATTGAGTCAGTGATGGATATCTTCACTGTTCAGTCCAGGTTCAGTTACATACTACGCCGCCATAGCAAGCGGCGAGGTATCAATTATTATAGGACACATCATTAAAACACTAACCACGCCTGCCCTATCGGCACCGCCATCCTCCTTGTCCTCCGTATCTCAAACTCAGGTTCTGTCACATCGAGCTGCGCGTACGAAGGCTGAAGCTTGAAGGCCGTACATGGATTGTGCGTGATGTATAATATTGGCACGTTAGCACAATGATCATACGATAATGAACGTGTTCGCAGACCCATCGAGTCATATCTTTTCCATGCTAAGTTTTAACGCGTAGCAGCTCTTCCTCTCTGTTGGACGACACATTTTGTAGAGAATTACGCCTTCAACCCTCCGGATCAAATTTCACAAGAGTTGTAGGTAAACTCCACAGCACGCCGTGACGCAAATGGGTAGTTGTCTAAGCAATCGAGCAACAGTGTCAGTGGCATGGTGAGTGGCGCACGTCTTACTTTCACACTTTATCGTCCACAGCTGCTTGAACACCAGGTGTTCAAATACCTTTTTCACAAAGATGAGAAGGTCATCATTCACTCCCCATATTCGCATTCTAAAATTCTAGCTTGCATCAGATAGCTCTAGGAATTGTATACTTTTCTTATAGAAGGAATGAGTGGCGCAAGTTACAACCCCATCAACGCACAGCATTTTGATCTCCTGTGGCCCACTAACATAGTCAGTATTTCCTTGTGTTCCATTATCCTGCGTTTTTTTAACATTATTTCTTGGTTCTGTTCTATTCTTTAGAGACTCGTCTCTCATTTCAAAACCAGCACTCCAAATTTGATGATGGAGCAGGGTCTCTGCGTTAGGACCAAAAAAACGAGCGCGGGTGATGTACGACCAGACCACGAGGTTATAGTTGGTCCTGTTGAAGGGAAGGTTCTGATTTAGAGGGGTCGTGCACATCCCCTACATACATGTGCGCCCACTTCCCTTATGCCTGTCGACGTATACGATCCCGTCGACATCGTTGTCACACGTACCGTCATTCGTCCTAATCTCAATCACCACTGTGGTTCTACTCGTACGCCTTTTCACGCACGGATCATGCTTACATGGATGTTCTCGCGCTCGTCGTCTTGCATAAGCACCTACTCTCCCTCACATTCGTCATCTGCGTCACCCCGACCCGCCCCCCCTTCGCGCTTCACGAGCCTAATGCTCCGAGCACTCAACTGTTTCTGCACATCCTCAACTTTTGATAGCGATGTGTATTGTATAACAATACATAGGAGGGAGAGGCCTGTGTTGGTGGTGATCTTGAAGAGACATTTACTGCAGCATTGGATGCCCTATTGCATATATGCCTTGTTACACCAATTATCTACAATATCTGGGGACTGTTTGTACACTTTCATTGATGGGTATTTTATAGTAATTGTTTGTCACCTAGTATCTACTTCTGCAAAGGTTAACTTACAAATAGACAATGTAACATGACGTTGAATGTATTATCCAACTCATCAGTGAACCGTTGGGTCCTTGAAATTGTAGCCGTAGGAATTACATGGAAACCTAATTCTACTGCCGAAGACGACCCTGAAGTTTGGCTGATAATGTAGTCTCCGGGATAGACAAACGAGTGCACTAGTGCTGCGATGCATGACATTACTTACTATGTCGGGATGTTGAGATTCAAGGCCTTAGGAGTCGCTTGTTTCTAAAATTAACTGCTCACATGCCAGGGTCGGATGAATGCCTTCAGGTCAGATGTTGGCTAAACGACGTGCCGGGTTACGTTTACAAAACATCCTTGGTGGGCTATGAGAGCACCCCAGTCAGAACCTGTCAGAACCAGAATCAGCTTCGTCGTGGTACTTACTTGAGATACTGATTCCTTCAAGTTCGTCATCCTAGTGGTAATATTCGGTGCCAAGCACCTCAAATAACCCATATTAGACAACATTGAATTTATAAGTACAACTGACTTATAAATCAGTTATATACAGAAAGGCAGCGATATATGCAGCAGTCGGTGACGATATTATGAACATCCACGAGAGGTCAATATCGCTCACTGAGGGGATGATCGGTAGGAACTAGAAATTGCGGATTGGCGGATTGCTACAAATGTCCGATTGGAGACGACAGGGACCCACGGCATGTGCATCACAATGTAATGTTCTTCAAAAACGAAAAACGAAAAATACAAGGACGCCCAGCGTCACAGGTTCTGTATCTGCACGATAAGGAATTGCTTCTCGTCCTGATAAGTCGGAAAGCATTAGTAGGAAGTGAAAGTACTTTAAGCGGTCAACGTATACTCACGCTGAACTGTTCGTCCTCCTTATCATTATGGAAGCTCCTCAAGAACGTTAGCAATTTCTCCTTGTTGCGTCTTAGTATCGTTTCAATCTGAGGTGGTTTCTTTGGATTGGCAACGAATACCTAGCAATAAAGTACAATCAGTAAATATAGTCAGGAAACAAGTTCATGGAAGCCTACTTTAAAAACGTGGAAAGCTTCAAACTGGATATTCTTGCTCTTGTCCCGAAGCATGTTCATCATCATCTTTAGATTGGATTCTTGTGCGATGTATCTGGTCATGACGCTGAAATTTGCACGGTCAAGGAGGATTTCGCCGAGGAGCTTGAGAGATTGGCGCTTGGTGACATAATTATTGGAAAGTAAAAGAGTTGTGAAAGAGGCGAAGAACTATACAGGATGCTCGGTAAGCAATGAACACAATCATGAGAATTTGATACCCACACGATCATAGTTCTTGTCCAGGTATTCAGCGACCATAGGTTTGTGTCGTGTTAATGTCTCTTTGAGATTTGCAAATGCGTCGCATGAAACTCCAAACGATGTCGTTTCTATATGATGAGGGAACATGTAGAACCTGTGCGGCATTCGATGACATGTTTTGAAATGCACGATAGAACACTCACTGGTCAGAATAGAGTAAGATCTTCGCCAACTGCTCATGTCGCAACATCTCTCTAAGAACCATTCCTGTGTTCAACGCAACCTCTTCGTTACTATATCCCTCTAATGCTGCAAAGATGACGTCTTCATGCCTAGCGCATATGTATTCCACTGTTGGTAATCGTGCCCCGATTTGACGCCGGAGAAGATTATTGAATATCTGGACGACGTCCTTTCGAGCCTCAAAATCGAACTTTGAGATATTCTGCACGAGAAGGAGGAGTAGGTCTGTGGAATACGTTTCTTGTGCGAGTTGCGCGATGAGTTCCGGCAAAGGTTCTTGGAAGCTTTTAAGAAGGGATGATGTGAACAGTAGGGATTAGCGCACCTCCATCGCCATATAGAATACCCTTTACTGCCTGAAGATTTCTAGATACTTCTTCACCAGCCTGGTAGTCACGATCCCATTCCATTGTAAGTTTCATTTGAGATCATGAGTTTATCTCAAACTCACCTTTCTCCTCGTCTCACTCCCTGGAGGCCCGGATTCGAGTTTGGGTATCGCATCTCGCAAGCCACGGACGATATCAGGAGGTGTTCGTGGTTTTGTCTTGAAAAAGTTCATTGTCTACAGGATTGAAACAATCTTCTGGGATAACTTGACTCGGAACGGATGATAAAGAATGGGACGAGGGTCTAAATAGGCGGACGACAGGATGAATGACACGGGATGAATAATGACTCGGCTGGGAGTGCCACGCTCAGCGTTTCAGAGACAGGCTGTACTAGCCTTGGTAAGTAGCCTAGTAAGCCACTTGCAGCCGGTCTGAACTTCGCATATGACTTTCTACAGCACATGCCTAATTTGGCTTTCTCTCAAACTACCAAGTACACCACGGGCTCACCTAGGCCAGCCTGTATGAGGATGGTACTAGATTCAAAACAGTGCTTATATTTTGAGCCAGTTCGGACAAAATAGCCATATCTCATTCATTGGGTGCATTCCCTTGGTAAGCATAATGAAAAGCAATTGTATATCATTAACAACCCAAGTATATCTGGTTCGAAAGTTGTTACACCTCAAGGTAAGTAAATTATTACATTGTGGCTTGTGATGCTTTGCATTGGTGTCTTCGTGCCCATGCTCATTGCTCAGCTAGATTCATGAGAACTCGGCGACACAGGCTGATCGACGTCACTCTGTCAGACTTTTTCTACTCAATGTATCCTTCATGACAATCTTGGGCGAATTGTTTTAGATGGCTAGATACATCTGCCTCTGCATCCTGTAGGTAGCTATTGTCAGCTCCCGCATTTCAGAGGAGCCGTTGCTGCCTGTAAAACTATTCGGTTGCAGACAATATTATTGTATCGTTTTCTTAGTATCGGGCGTACAGGACTGGTGCGTTGGCTTTTGCGCTTAGCTCGAAAGTCTTTGCGACTACTAGTATGCTTCATGCGCAACACTTTAAGGATGAAGTGGGCGATCGCCTCGCCGGCAGACGGACGCCGCTACCCATAATCTTCCTTATAGCTACGCGCTTTTCAACGATGCTCAGCATTCCCCTTTGGCCATTCGGCTTGAGCTGCATCTGGAGGATAGTTATGCTCTCCAGTCTGCCTTTGTAACCTATAGCGTTTTCCTGCGGACCAGATTTGTTATATACAAAACGGTAGATACTGATAAGCATCCCTGCAAATTTTACAGCGTGAGTTGACTTGCTTCGGAGTACAACGAGATGAAACTGACGATGGAGTTCCGTCAGCTATGGGACTCACTCGGTCGTGTGCTTCCATGCTGCTTCCTTCTGTGGTGTTTGACTATCCGTGTTGAAATCACTAGCACATCTCTGCAGAAGCCATCTTGTTGAATATTACAATGTATTTGCGGAGCTGGCCTCACCCTTGTGGTCACAAGAAATTTATCCTTTTGATACAAGCTGAGAGTGTAAATTACTGTAAAGAAAGGGAACTCAATAGTTCAGCCACAATTAGCCGAGTAATTAGTATAGGCTTACACTTTTACGGAATCAACGGAGGAAAAGTGTGGCACGGGAAACCGCCTCTCGGGAACAAAAGTGTCTTGAAATGGCATGATCAGTATCCTCCCCGACCCCGACTGGATTTATACTTGCCTCGCTGTATGGCTGTTGCCGAGACAATAGAAGTACTAGGATGTGACACACCGGCCATCGCACGGAGGTACACGGAAAGTGAGGAGATACCGCCAGGTCAAGATCTTCTATTATATATAGCCCTGAAGCATCACTTCAGCGCCAGCTTATTCGCCAGAGCAGAATGACCCTATGTCCAAACGTCAGTACTTCCACGCTAGAATCCAAATTGTCACAGCTTCTTTGTGAAATTCAGAATACGGCTATCCGCACAAAGAATAGTCACAAGGAAGAAGTCTAGTAGCAGACGTACCGGCAATTGTTCGGCATATTGCAATGTGTCGGGGACGATGTAATTGGATATTCATAGGGCTGATTAGCCCCAGAACTGAACATATATGAGCAGTATCGCGCCAGAAGCATACACGAAAGCCGACGATTAAGATTTATGTGCGGCACTAGTACCAGTGATATGTACAACCATTTGGTCCAGGGCGAAGAAGGCTAAAATATTATTGCCAGTCGCAAGGGGCTTACACATAGGAATATTGCCATGACTCCGAGTCTGTTTAAAAAACCTGAACGTAAAGGTGAGCAACAGAAGCAATAAAAGGAGAGCATAGACCGAAGAGAAGGCAGGATCAGCCCGGCGCGCTCGTAAGGTCCGCTGAGGTCGCGTTCATCTAAGAGAAAGTCTCACGTCGTACAACGTAGCAATACCCTTGAGGTTAGATCGATGATACTCTGGAAGGCAGATTATTCCTAGCGACGGCATATTGCTTGATCTGAATTAGACAATTCGGAGACTCATGCCCTTGCTTTACGAGCGAAGCATGGAGCTCTCATTAAAATGTTCCTGTAGACGGTCTCAAAAAGGTGCACCGAATTTCGCGACAGTGTGTTTTGCACTGTAGGCCAAAGATTCACTGATAGGGACTTGTCTGAGTCTATAACCGAGGAGCGGCCTTTAACAATACAGCGAGCCGACGCTCTTGCACTCCCACGCGGCGCTGGCAAAGTTGGATCATGAACGTCGAATTTCCGATCAGCTACAAAGAAGATCTACCTTATCCGTGAGCTCGCCGATAGCCGTGCGCGCCGGTTGGCTCCAGGCTTTAGGCTTGATGAAAGCGCATCTCATGACTCAGAAGGATGAGGAAATGTGAGTGCCTTGGGCCCGAACCAGGAAAAACGTACTGCCATTAATGTATTTTTGATTTTGAGCGCCAAGGCTACTGAAGCGCTGGCACTAAAGGTCATCGGTACATATTTCCTGTCATAATTAGCCCGGCATCAACACGCCAATGCATCAACGTTAGTACTGAGTGACATCAGGTGGTCAGGGTGGCAGAGCTGATAGCCAGCCGGTTGCTTACCTGAGTTCCCATAATCAGCATAAATACTGTCCGCGATAATAAAGCTGAGCTCTGATTATCACTGCCTTTTGGCAGGGACGACAGTTTTAACCACTGTGATAAATTCCTTGCGACTTCCCAGTCGGACATGGACAGTCACAAATCATGACATTTGTGGGAATGCATGAACTGTTACTTCCATTCAATCGAGGCTCTTACGTAATGCCTTGAACTCATGCTTTGAACCTCGAGTTTCAAAGGCTTCAAGCATAGCGGCTTCAAGAGGAGATTGTACAAGGGGCAAATGTACAGGTAAGTATATAGTATCGTTCACATAACTACCTGAATATAGTTCCCAAGACATGGAAAAAGGTTTCTGCTACCGCAATCGGTGTTCAAATGTTCGCCGGGCATTCGCCTTCATATCCATGGCCTTTCGTCTAGTACCTTCAGCTAAGTATGTCATTCATTTCCAGGCCAATTTTGGCCGTTCCCCTTGACGTCTGCTTCTGTGCAATCTATTTCTCCGAGCCTACATAAACGGTCTACTGGCTGATCAAATGGGCCCACGAACCGTTTGGTTCCCCAAAAGATTGGAGAATGCTATATAATTTTTGGTGGGTTTCCTCTACCAGCATATTCTGTTCCCGTGCATATATTCTTGACAGGAAGATAGATTCAGACCTATATGCGCATGTCAAAGCGTCCGGACGTTCGCAAGGAATGGCCCACGAGGTATGTCAGTCTGGCAGTATGCAAGGTGGTGCTAACACTCAAGTAGCCGATGCAGAACTGCGTGCATAATGCGCACACGGATCCCTGTAACAGTGCTTCACCCGTTCAGCAGTATCGTGCTCAATCGAAGACTGGTTACTGTGCATCGGCTTCTTGTGACCCGCATGTTGAGGACTTATTGTCAAGCAGTGCCTCACCACTGACGAGCTCCGGGAAAGCTGTTGCTCAACATTATACTCAAAGGTATGATTCTCTTTATATGATGTTGATCCTGTGTCATTAATGCAATGGACGTCTTCGAAGTACGGCAGGGCAATCTTTGTACAACAGTTCCACGTCCAACTATCCGTACACCGTCGATCCGCAATTGCCCAGCTCAATGCCACATGCAACCGATATACCCCATGAACAAGAACCTCCATTCAACAATTTTGATGTATCAGAATCGCCAATCCAATGCCTGTGGAGCGACAGACAAGGCCAGTGCAGCTTTACTGCGACTACGGTCTCGACCATGATGAAGCATATATCGGCGCACCATCTACGTGAGCATCAGCACCCTGATTGCCACGTGCGATGTCGATGTAGAGGTTGCCTGCTCCAGAGGACCATAAGACGAGACACAATTCTCAGGCATATCCGCGAAATACATTATGGGGACAAATTTCGCCGCAAGCACTCTCCGTGAGTTTCATTTGCATCTGAAAGACTGATCACTTTTGGGTCGCACTATGTAAGAGGCACTTCTATCATTCCTTCTAGTATACTCCTTCTGCTTTCATAGCTAGCGTGTATCTTAGTAGGACTTATATGACGTCCTGCTCGTTTTTTATTCATACATTTTATACAACTCTTCATCGTACATTTTTGCTTCAGCATGTCATAGTAAAACACCAGCCGCATACGCTTTACAAGAGACACTATTGTGATGGACTTATGAATATAGCTTACTCACATTTTTTGCCGTAACCATGGTTTTGGGGCTCTTTGCCAAGCTTCTCACTCTTGGAGATTTCTTTTGCTGGTCTTGGACTCATCACAGAACGTGTTTCGGCCTGCTCTCTCCAAAGTCTACTATCTCTCACGTGCTGCTAGCCCCACGCACGTGTACTTCTCTGTTTGCACATGCTGCTTAGGCATGTGTACTTCTCTCTCTGCGCTCTGTCATGCTTCATCCGCCCTTAAGGTTGACTTCAACTTCAACATTCTGAATTCAATGTCGTCCAAGCTTCGTCCAAGCTGTCGTAGGACATCCTGCAACACGCAGACGTACAACTTCCCGTACTATTAATATCTTGGCCATGATATCAAAACGAAAACGGAAACATGACTTGCTGTTGCGATGTACCGCTCGGGCTGCCGGCTCACTTGCTTCTCGGATGACAGAAACGACGTCCTTTGCGCTAAGATGAGCAGGTGAGTCATGTGGTTGAATCCTGGCTGCACAGCGATCTGCTCCTTGGCTTACCTTAGGACAAACTTGGCCTGCACAGCAGTCTGCAGTTGTCAAGCACAGTGTTATGTCGCATTGTGCATTGACAAACAGAGATGCTGTCGACATAACCACGACGGCGAGGAAGGAGAAACGCATTTTTTGTGTGAGGCGATATGGAATCTTCTGAGGTGGATCTCGAATGATATCTCTGAAGATGTGGGAACACTATAGGATAATGACCAGCTTTTATATCCTGCATATATACATGGACACGATCCTGATCGATTTGGCAGATAGAACTTGCCGGAGCGTAATCAACTGTGGCCCTTACGTCGTTACTGGGGTCGTATGGTATACGGACAAGCAAACTTAACAACGCTCTGAAATAATTGCACAAGGTGATTTTTTGGGGCCAGATGATATACCATGATGCGATCTCTTCGCAGCGCTTAACAGCTGAGTGGAGCCTGACATTCGAATGCAGGCGATAGCCATTGCATCAACTTTTTCTTACTGTCGTATGTGTGTCCAAAACTTGTTTCGTCGAGTCCATACCTTGACTCACACGTTGTGCTAGTAGACTTGGCCTAGATCATACGTCACAACTTTGACACGCACGTTTCAAATTGCCCAATTAGCACAGACATCATGCATCATGTGTGTACTAGGTTTGACATCCAATCTATCTCTTACAGCTATCATCATGATACACAACCCTCGCAAAATTTACGAGCAGATTTCGAATTCCCTGTCGATCCTACAAATGAAAATCCACATCTAGATCTCCGTAGATCTTCATAATTTCATTTTGCTTCCGTCGATCTTCGATCCCACTCGCGTCGTCTCTTTCTGCGTTGTTCATTGTATGAATTTCGCAAAACAGTAGGTGGTATCTTTCATCTCAAGTTTGATAAGCAAATGTAGCGTGCACCAGCGTCTTTCGTACTGACAAGGATCCTAATAAGCTATCCATGCAGACGAGCTTAGCATGTATTCACTCGTATGTGTCCCCATCATCTTTTAGGCGACAGGACGAATGTGCACATCGTGTCCTCTCTTGTGATCAAAGCACACTCAGAGTACAGAGTCACATGCTTGGCCACTCCCCGGCCTGTGATAAGACTTCATCGGATTGACGACCTCCCCTATAATGTGTCAAACATGTTATATATGCATAGTATAGGAAGCTACTAGTAGGGAATAAGCTTAACGTGCTACTAACTAAAATATAATATATGCACAAAGCCTATGGCCTGTACAGAAACAGCGAGAACTGCAAACAGACTAGAACAAGAATGATAATAAGTTACAGACGAAGGCTACATGATCAACATTCATGCAGGCGTGTATTTTTCCGAGATCGACAGAAACCGGCACCAGCAGGAGAAGCTGCCCAGAGCTTGCATCGATACTTGAGTCCGAGATGTTTCTCGACGATGTGACGGATGATCGTATCTCGCCGTACTAGCTTGTGCAGTTCACAGTCCTTCCAGAGACATTTTAAGCGTTTGTCCGCGCGCAATGGTGACTTGAAATGGTATGATGACATATGTTCCCCGATCTTGGCGGCATTTACGATCCTCCCGCATGCGCCATAACCATCATTCCACTGGCAGACAGACGCACAACCGGCGTGCGATTTTGACTCGTCATCGTTGACCACATATCGAGGATGAGGGTCAACCTCTTCTTGTAATTGATGACGTGGGTCATGCTGGGACTCTTGCATGTGCGAGCATGACTTGACAAGGTTTGTGTCAGAGTGGCCCATGTTGTGGGCAGGCAAATAGTCATAGGGAGAATAGCTGGAAGAAGCGCGGTGTAGATGCTGTCCAGCAGTATCGCTAAAGAAAAGAAGTTCAATCCGCAAAGAACAAGATCATCAATGCCATCTAAGGATCTCGTACCTTTGAATGTCGCCCTGAGCTATACCCGCATCAAGTACGTCATCACAACTCGGAGGACCCACTGTTTGACTCCCGATTGTCGAGTCTCCGTCACACACAACGTGATACTGGGAAACAACAGGTGTGGAATCGCCGGGAGAATTCTCTAGTACAAAATGCAGGAAGTGTTGGTGAGGCTGAGAAATCGACTGTTCCCATATCAAGACGTCAGCGCTTCACACCGTTCACACGCGAAGACCGAACGCACATGATCGGTAGTTTTTTGTAGGCGCTCTGCATTGGCTGCCTTGACATGTAGGTATAGTTGTGAATCCTCCTGCCTGCATGAGGGGATAAGAAATAAGAAGAAATAGAGCGGCACAGGTCAGACGTACCAGAAATTGTAGGGCGTGTTGCGATCCATGGTGAGCAATGGCATTGAACACTGAAACAATATAAGCCCAGAGATGTGAAATCGCGCCAAGAAGGCCGAGGCCAATGGTTATCTGCAGGCCAAGTGTCAGTGGCATGTAGGTGGGGTCGAGGGAGGTGGAAAGTCACAACTGCCAATCACTAGAGTTTCATATCACATACAACCAAGTACAGATGAGGTCGAAGGCCAGAAACCTTGGAAACAATAGGATATGACAGGGTTTTGTTGAAGTAAATTCAGAGGTAAAAGAAGTGAAAGTCGCATAGGCAGCGATTCCTTTGAAATCGATGGCATTTGGGGTCGTGGTTGTCTGACATCATGGAATGGCAGATCTGGGATTCAAAGGCTTGCCTCTACACGGCCAAGGTCAAGGCGCCCAAAAAATCGGAACAACCCATCTCATTGGTCAAGGAGTTTCTTCCTGTAGTGGCAATATTATCAACGCCTAAACACCCGGCCAGCCATGGCAAAATGAAAAGTCTGTGGCAATCTCCGATTATTGAGGGCAAGTATTATGATGGCAACACGCCTCATGTGGGAGCAGTGTTTTGAGCAGGCGCCGGGAGTCTGCCCTTCTGCCGATGGCAGTAGTAGGCCTTGGGCAGAAGTCGGCAGAAGTCGTGTTTACTACAAGCGGAACGAGCTGGAGAAGATTGATGAAGGAATTGCGCCTGCAGGATTTGTGGTCCGTGGAAGAGATTGATCTGATTGACCGTGGGTCGACCGGTCACAAGGCAGAGAAACAGTCTGGACTTTGGAAAATTCAAGTACTCAGGCGCTGTGGTCGTTTGAGTAGCACTTAATGATAAACCACTATTATGAACGCGCGAAACTACTTATATAAACAATTCTTGAACAATTCTGCTAATTTTTGCCAACCTTCCTACCGGAACTCGCCCCAAAATAGAGGGTATCAGTATACCCAGAATTGTATACCTTAATCAATGCAAGGAATGAATTTGGTTGTAAGTTGAACACCACGTGGACAACATGTGTGACTTGCAAAACACTGGCGTTTTGATGGCGGCTTGAGTGCAAATTTTAAAACCTATATATAGCATGAGCAGGCACGTTTTAACCGAGGATCATGGAGGTCTCTCGAGCTCGATCATGATCGAGGTTGTCACAATTGGGCACCTCGGGCACGGACGAGTCTCACCGACTGCACTCTGGATCTTAATCAGCCTCGCCTCGTGTCGACCTCCCACATCACCAAGCGATTTCCAATGATGTGGCTCCAGCCGCTGAGGCTAATATTGGTAGTTACGAAGACGACGTTCAATTTGAGGAAGCGGTTCTGTTCCGCCACGTGCGAAGCGAAGCAGGGTCACT